ACGCTGAGTCAGGCTTGATTTTTAGTAATCTCTTCCTGTTGAATCAATAAATCAAATCAAATCAACCAATCTTTTTTATTTTTGGTGTGCACTTGTTTATAGGTGCTTCTTGAGAAGTAGAAATATTTTTGTTCATCCATACATCATTCATTTTCATTATTGACTTTTTCATAATTTTGTGTTTCAGGTCTGTCTGACTCACAGCAAACCAAAGTTCAAAAGAAGAGAACACTGACATTTTCATTATTAAAGCACCTACAAGGTAAAACAGAAAATGAAAGTGTTTAAGAATTGGATAGAGGAGGAAATGAAAGCTCATTTACCGTCTGAGTCATCATGTCATTGTTGCATCTTACTGACGCACACAAAACCAACCGATCAATGCCAAATTGACACAGCTGCTGCTCTTTTTACTTTTTCATTTTTCTTCTTAGTGTAAGATATTAAACTGTCTATGAAGCGTTTTGTTACAAACAAGCCAAGTAACAAAGATAATGAGTTAGAAAGACAAGATTTGAGGTTTAATCCAAAAATCCAAATGTGATAACTGAATCATGCTCCAAAGAAAATCTTTCCTGAAGAGACTCTGAGCAGTTGATCTTCTGAGCTGATCAAACCAAACTGAACCCAGAGTCTGTGAACGCGTTACAATGGACCCCTCTGTTTAAATAGATCTCAGACAGCTGCACTATTAACTCTGTCACTTTCAGTCTTTGATAACTGAGTGTCTGTCCTGACCTCATTTTATTCCTCAGAGCAGGAGATGTCACTGAGCAGTTTGGTTTGTTTACCCCTGAAATCTGACTGTGTCATATTGGTGATAAGAGGTTGTTTGCCAATCAAAACGTTACTGATTTGATTCTTGGCTGTTAAAGCTTCAATGTCTTCAATGACCTTGGCCGAGCATTAAATCAAACATTATCACAGTTGGTGTGTTTGAAGTAGACAAGGGGGGAAAATACAGATTAGGCTGGAAAAGCAACATTGACACAGCTTGGTGTAATTCAAGAAGAGAAGAAAAAATGTTTATAAATGGGGCAAAATTTCCTTTAGTCTTATACAACGAATTAATCTTTGGTGTCGACACAGTTCAAGATAGCTGCTACAGCTAATCAACCTTAGCAAACACAAAATAAATGGCTATAATAGAGTCAGTTTTATAGATGTTGTGCTTATAGTTGGTGTGGTGGTAAAACATTATTAATGTTTAAGAAGACGGTTCTGCTAACAGCTAATAGCAGAACTGTTTCGAGCGAATTTACTTTTCCATTAACTTTGAAAACCATTAGCAGACCAGTTAGCTTCTGCTAAATTAGGTTGTACCATCGTTAAAGGAACAGTGTGTAGGATTTTGTCAATTCTTTTAGCCAAAATTGAGATAATCACTAATGACAATAAGAAAAAAAAACATGTCTAATCATTGCAGACAAAGACTTTGTTTTATTATTTTTACCTTATAAAAAGCTGTTTATATCTCCATGGTCGCGGGTCGCCACACAGGCAGCCGCCATCTTGCACCGCCGTCTTGTCTACGAAGGCTTGTGATGGACAAACTGCGGTGGCGACGTCAAAACCGGTTTTAGTTGTAATACTATAAATGTAATATTTGTTGTCTGTCATTAGCTACGTTTACATGGACAAAAGTAATCGGATTAAACAGCCGTTTGGAATAAAAATGCGTCATGTAAAAAGTAAAAAAATAATAATAAGCACTCCCTGCAGGCACTACTCCTCGCTTRTCTTTAAACCGAGGAGTTAAACAAGGATGTAATATATCCCGCTTTTTATTTATTATGGCAGCTGAAATGTTAGCAATCCACATGAAAAACTCAGAAATAGACAAATTAAACATCTTTAACAAACAATTGATAATAAGTCAACTGGCTGACGACACTACTATTTTTTTGAAAAACTTAGAACAAATCCCAGAAATACTTAAATATATCAATCTCTTTTCAGAAGCATCAGGTCTAACACTTAATCATAATAAATGTGAACTTATGGCCNTGTGAACTTATGGCCCTGTGATGGGCTTGCGACCTGTCCAGGGTGTACCCCGCCCCTCGCACTGTGACTGCTGGATATGGGCACCAGTGACCCACGCGACCCTGAAAAGGAAGAAGCGTGTACAGAAAATGGATGGATGGATGGAACTTATGGCCATGCATGATTGTAATATTTTAGAAGCATATAATATTCACCGGAACTGAGGTTAAAAAATGGAGAACCCATTATCTTAAATTTCCTGTAAGTCCAAAAGTTAAAGAAGAGCATTTTAAAATCTTGAATGAAGTTTATCCATCCAATGAAATGCTGAGAATGAGATTTAATATTGACCATAACAACTGTATTTTTTGTGAATCCAACATCGAAACAACGGATCATCTGTTTTTATCAATGTATTTACACAAAAACTTTCTGGGAGGATTTTCTGGACTGGCTTTCTACAAAGATCCAGCTACAGGACACACTTACTCTGGACAACATAATATTTGGATTGAACTTGAAGGATGCACAATCAGACTATGTTTTAAACAATTTACTACTGATGTCAAAATATTTCATTCATTGCTGTAAATGGAAAAAGGTAAAGCCTATCTTTAATGTATTTAAAAGACATCTTGTTGAAAATTATTTAATTGCTTTAAAACGAATGAAATGTAAGAATGTGAAGTCTCTATGGAATGGATTTGATATTTTGAAAATATTTGAAGACTTCTGATTGTAGTTGTACAACTGTGTGAATGTGAATGATTTTTTTCCTTTGTTTATTTCTATTGTTTGCTCTGTTCTGTCTTGTGCCTTGAAAATGTTATTTCTCCTATTTATTGTTGTTACTGTATATCCCTAAACGTTTGTACTCTTGAATTTATATCACACACACACACACACACACACACACACACACACACACACACACACACACACACACACACATAAAGTGTCCATCACTGATGGCGTCAGAGATGCTGGGCTTTTATTTTGACAGTGAAAGCAGTTTTATAAGGAGCTCAGCTGATATGAATCTGCTTACCTGCAGCCTTTTATTAATCTGGTCATACTGTCTGTTTAGTAAACAAAACACGAATATTTAACTGATTATTTAAGTATGACCTAAACTCTTTGAGGTTTTTCCCACACGTTTGTTAGTTTTGTCTGCGTAAAAGGAATCCGTTTGACAAACGGGGGGGTCATGTTGTCCTACTTTTTTTTAGCTTACGCAGGTTGCAGCACCTACAAACGCTGAGTTCGCAAAGGTGAATACATTTAGCAGCAGAGTGACCTTTCACCCCCTCCCTCCACCCCGCCTGGATTCACCCAGTTTGAAAATCCCACAGACAAAGCCGGGGAGACAGATGGCCTGGTGAGAGCACACGACCGATGTCACAATTTCACATGCTCCTGTTTTAACTAATGTCTGTTAGCAAAATATTTCACAAACCACTGACCAGGTTTTAATGAAACTCTGATCGAAATAAATTATGTCTACAAGTGATCACCTCAGTTCAAAATGGCCGTCAAAGCAAACCAATATTAGCAAACATTATGGCAGCTGATTTTACAGATAGAGCTAAAATTAGGCGTGGCATTAGCCGAGTCATAAAGACGAGGTGGGGAGTTGGGAGCCACAGTAACAGAGGAATGCTGGGTAAAGCCCCTCACTTGTTGCCTCAGGAATGTCCCCGTCCCGTTATTTATATAAAGTCCCCCCCCACCCGCTGTCAGACTCACAGCATCTTCAAACTGAAAACTCACCATGATTCTGCTGCGTCACGCTGCAACAGGGAGAAAACAGGAGCCGTGAAACGCAGCAATCATGGATTTATTAAAAATCCACAAAACAACAATCCAACACTCATGACTTCCTTTTCCTCACATGCAATCATTTTAGGCTGAACTTTTGAAACTTCTGTAAAGATTTTCATATATTGAGTTGAGTTTATAACTCAGCTGACGTGGACTTTGAGAATTTGATCTCTACTCTTTATCACCCATTGCAGAAAGACAAAAACTGACGATAAAACGTGGGCTTCTTTTGCCGTTCCGAACAGCCATATTTTATTTTTTCCATTTCACACTGACACTTCGGACAGGTACTGTGGATATATATATATATATATATATATATATATATCAAAAACACATCAGCTTGTCTTTACAATTACAAAAACACATTTGCTTTCAATTTGCACGTAGAGCTCAAGTCACAGAAAAGAGAATAAAAGTGACCGAAACATAATAAATGAAGAAAAATAACATTTCCCAGCACGTTTTCTACATTGCATACACTTGACTTAACAGGGAGTGGAAATCTGAAGTGCATCAAACGTTCAGATGACGTCTGAGGGAGAAGTCCTGTAACCAGCAGGTTCTGGTGAGCAGCAGCTGGAGCTCTTTTTGGAGCCATTAACCCTCAACACCGGGACTCGTTTTGGTCGGGTAAAAGAAAGAAACTGCCTTGGTGTTAACTGAGGTGCCGAACACATTCATGAGGACTTTAAAACAAAGAAAAATAAACAACACGAGGAAGGTTTCCAGCATGGCTTCATACAAGAAACACTAATGCAGTGCTTGTTTCGTCCCAACGGATCTGACTCCACCTTACAGGACGTCAAATGTCATCACCAAACTTTTATTTAGGTAGACACGCTGTTGCACGTCTACAATACTAAGCGCTTTACCACAGCAGGTTCTTTAAAAGGCGAGGTGAGAGGTGTCAATGTGGCTTTTGAGTTGAATGTTTGTAAACCAAAAAAGAGGCCAGAGAGGAGTCTGAAAAACAATCAAATACAGCAAAAATGCTCTTCAAAAGAATTAATATCAAGACAGAAAATGTTTAAAAGTCTTTAACAGCATCTACAGCATGATAATCATTTCTAATAACTTAAATACTTAAATTAATTCAGCAATATAATACTATTCCACTCGCAGTCAAAGAAAAGATATGAAAAATAGATTTGCTCACAGCAAAAACAAACAAAAAAATAAAAAACGACACTTTGTGGAGAGGTCCGGAGGCTAAACTCTACAACCTGTAGGCCTGACGTCTCTGCCTCATCCCTGCGGCGAGAAGCTTTGGCACAGAAAACACGACATGGAGCAGATCAGAGACACGCATGCAGGCTTCGCTCCAGTCCCAGAGGAGACGAGGTCCATGAACCCCAACATGCGTCACAACCATGCTGCGGGAAGGCAACGACGAGAGGAGGAGGGGTTAGCCACAGACAAAAAACAAAAAACAAACTGAAATCACAGAAAATAAAAGTCCTATCAGGTCAACGAGGGGTCCAAAAAAAAAAAGATTCCAGCTTCCTCCAGGTGACAGTGATGTTTCCGCCCTGTTTTACGTTCGTGCGTTCACAGAGATGACTCCCTGGTTACGGGGAGCTCGGCCTCAGTCCGAGGGCAAACCTGAACACTCGCAGCCTGCTCCGGGGTCTCGCTGATGACCTCCAGAGCCGAGGCGGCGGATTTGCAGTCGGCCCCGCCGCCCTTCTTGTCCGCGGAGCCGCAGCACTGCTTGGGGGCGCACTGTGTCCGACAGGAGAGCTCGCAGAGGGAGTCCCGGGACTCTGAGCTGAACGTGACAAACTCGGGTTGGATGGTGGTGGCGTGGATGCCCTCGTCGTGGAAGAAGTCCTTGATGCGCTTGGCCACGTCCATGTAGGCGGTGGGGTCGTGGCACTTGATGTGGGCCGTGGCGATGATCCGGCTCCCCGCCAGCTGCCAGATGTGCAGCTCGTGGATGGCGAGCACGCCGTCCAGGCTCAGCAGCCGCTCGTTGAGCTTGTGCATGTTGATCTGCTTGGGGACGGTCTGCAGCAGAATGAGGGCCGACTCCTTCAGCAACGGGTAGGTGGTGTACAGCAGGATGCCCACCATGATGAGGCACAGCGTGGGGTCCATGTAGAGCACCCAGCAGGGCCCGGCGGTGACCGTGTAGTTGCTGTACTGGGGGTTTTCAGCGTGACCGTAGCTGCAGAAGTCCACGCAGTCCTCCTGGCCTTTGCAGCTGTTCCACACGAACGTAAAGATGATGGCGTTGACCACCACGATGACGGAGCCCAGGGCGTCGCCCAGCACGTGCAGGAAGACGCCGCGCATGTTGAGCTGCGACGACGACTCTTGCTCAAAATCCTGCTCGTCGAAGTGGGTGTTGCCATTCATCTGCACCTCTGAGCCGTCTTTACAGCTGACATCTGGAGATTAAAAAATAAAAATAAACATCCAGGAACTGCGTTCAGTTTCAGAACAAGACGATAAATAATCAGAGTTTGACTCTGAGACACTAAAACTACATTAAAACACAGATACAGGTAAAACAAAAAGGTGTAACAAATCTGTTAACAAGTAAAGGGATTCTATTTTGTAAGTAACAAACGTAACAAAACATACATGATGAATTTAGACGACGGCGAACTCGCCCTCCTCGATGCAACAAAACCCTCCTCAGTCAGTAAGAAAATTTAATTAGTGCGTCTGCAGGCGGCGTGGCAGAGCGAGCGCACACACAGCTCAGGGAGAGGCTACCTGAGCAACGGCGGCGGGCTCTTTTCCATGCCGGGGCGCCATCGGGTCATTCATCAACTGCTAATGGTGTGTCTGGGACTGTCGACTCCACCGTTACGCTGATGTATGACCCGGGAACAGCAATCAGTGCACAGAGGGGGGTATATAGTTGGCATTTATTGAAACTGGCAGGGCCTAACGGTGTGTGTGGGGTAAATGGGCTTCTGTTTGTGGGTTTAACCCTCAAGTAAGTAAGGGGTGCTGCAGAGGATTTAAAAAAACTTTTTCTTCCTGTTTTATTACACAAATAAATTGTTTTTTGTATGTTTTTAACAATCTACTTTTACTATCAGAAAATAGGCTGCTATCTTTAGAAATCAGGACAATAAATACAAACACTGGCTGTTTTTTAGTCATTTTGTTTAATGCAGGTCTTCTTAAAGCTAATGTAAACAAAGCATTAAATCGGGTTCTGCTAACAAACACATGGAAGGAGTTTTTGAGCTGCAAAAAGTGTCCATTTAAGTCTTAAAATCTTATATCCAGCCAAAAAGTATGTTTATCTTGTTTTGAGACTGATGTACAAATAAGGTTGTGTAATGGCAATAAATTGTCTTAATTGTTGATATGATACAAATCACACAAACAGGGCCTGGAAATTTTCCTTATTTCAAGACGTCTTACCAAGTGCAATAGTCTTATTTCACTTAACGAGTTTGAATCTTCTCAAATTAAGGAAATAAGGAACATTTCCAAGCTAACAAGATTAATATTTTAAACACATTTTGTTCTTTTTTAGTTTACAAGTCTCAAAACGCTATCAAAAATACTTTTTGACTGGATATAAGATTGTAAGACTTGGTTAGATGGAAAATTTTTGCAGCGCTTATTCAGTGTAAACAGCTCTTCCATGGATGGAGCTGTTGACCTGTTTTCAGCCCCTTTGGCTGTTTTAGTAGGTAAACAAACGCACATGACGTTTGGCAGCAATTCACAAAGTTTTGCTTACACATTTTTGTTTTAAGGAGAATTTTATGGACCAGATTTAGGGAGCAGTATGCATTTGTAACTATTTTTTTTAACTTTGCATTGTTTGTACTTGCTGTCACTTTTGTGTGACTCACTGAAGGAATCTTCCCCAAGGGATCAATAAAGTTATGTCTAATCTAATCTAGCTTCTGACATGGAATAAACATTAAATACCTTATAGTTCCGTATTTTGCCAACATGGCACTTCGATCTCATACTCCAGGTTTAGGTTTACTTGTTTCTAGAGTTACTAAAAGTAAAACTGGAGGTTTCAGAGCTTTCAGTTATATTCTCTTGTGAACCCAACTTTCATTTTTTGTCGACGCAATCAGCTTCTTCACTTGTACTAAATGGTATGTTATAACACGTGAACTAACCACATATATAGATTTATTGTTTTAAATGTCAAAAATCCTTCTAAGTAATAAGCGATCTACCTCTAGTTGTTAGTTTTATGGGAAATTCATCTAATTTTGCTCAGTTTGGAACTTGTCAAATACATTTTTTCTAGTCTAAGTCAGACAAAATGAAGAATATATTTAATTAAAAATATTCAGAAAAGGATACCTGAGCTTGGCCTTGTTCATATGTCTGACTTGGATCATGTTCCCAGGGTTTGAGTGACCCAACAGATCCATGTTTTAAACATTTAGTGGGTGATAATGTCCTCTGTGGTCACGTGGATTACTAACAGAGATGTTGAAATTTATGAGGAAGGGAACTTTTAGGAGGTCTGTGGGTTTTAACACACTCACCGGTTCTTTGTCTCACATCTCCAGGGCTGTTGTGGTTCCCCACCAGGTTGTTGGTCTCCTCTCCCGCCGAGCCGTTCCCAGCCTTCCCCCTCTTGCCCTTGCCTCCGTGAGAGTGCCCCCCGTGGGAGTGCCCGTGGCCTCCTCCTCCGCCGGCATGTCCGTGGAACAAGCAGAGCCCGAGCAGGTTGACCAGGAGCCCCGCGGCGCCGACCACGGCCACCATCACGGGACTCTCGATCTCGTGGGGCTCGGTGAAGCGCTCGATGGCCTCCAGGACGATGGTGAAGCACAGCGCCGTGAGGAACACGGCGTTGACCAGCGCCCCCATCACCTCGGCCCGGATCCAGCCGAACGTGTTCTTGTTGGTGGAGTGGGTTTTCTCGGCGAACCGCACGGCGACCAGAGCCACGACCAGCGCGATGACGTCCGACAGCATATGGAAGGAGTCCGACAGCATCGACAGAGAGGCGGTGAGACGACTCACCACCACTTCCACGATGAAGAAGCTGAAAGTCAGAGACAGCATACATAACAGACGGGCTCTGTTGGGCTCGCAGGCCATTTTTAAAAAAACCTTCAGTCCTTTTTTTGTTTCAAAGATTCAAGTTAGAGAGGGTTCGCGGTGTCCTCTCTCAAACCTCCCCGGACATCTGTCAGACAGCTCCCAGAGACAATGCGACCGACGCTAATATACCAGGCGAGCAGCTACACACGGAGACAAACGACCAGAGACAAGAGAAAAAAAATAAAGGGAGTATCAGATTTTAGTAACCGTGTGAAAACGCCGCGGACGTCACTCCCAGCACAGTTCAGACACGTCTGTCGACGAGCTCGTTTGCAGACGGCTGAAACTTTGCACCCGAGCCGGCAAAACTTTCCACACGGAACACGACACAGTTGGGCCCGCCCACGACAGCTCCTATTGGCTGACGGCGTGTAAGGAGCGTTGTGATTAGTCGAACTACATTAGTCGCCCTCTTACAACTACGGTTGTAAGAGGGCGGGGCAAAGATGCCGGACGACCGTGGTTGCTACGCACGCTAATCGTAAACGTACTGTAAACTCAAAACGATTAAAGCTAACCAATAAAATAACATATTTTTAAAAGCCGAAATGTATTTTTTTCTAGTAAACAAATTTCTACGTAAACATCTAAACAATCCAATTTGTTAATCAGCTGTATTTAAAAAAAATCAAATGAAAGAAATGACTTCCTGTGTTATCATTATCACTTTGCTTATTCAAAGGTTGAACAAGAAACTGGTGACCCCTTGTGGGAAGAGCTGCTGATTAAAGCAGTTCTGATAGCTGTGAATGCTATTAAAACACTTCTTGTCTTTTTAAATTACAATTATTAATCTGTAATGGGCCAAATAAGGCAGACTGAACCACGTCAGCAACCATTAGGAAGGCAATTCAGATATTATTCCTAAAAATAATCTACTTTTTATTATAAATATTGCAAAATATACACTGGAGATCAAATTAGCTGCTCATAAACACACACACGCACAGACACAGCTATAAAAACACTTTGCTTCACAATCACTACAGTCAAAACAGCATCTTAAAAATATTAGATTTACACAGGAAATTTTCACATTCATAGCAAAACACGTTATGTTTGTGATGTTAACGGATTCCGAAGATCTGTCTGCTTTTCAGCTGGCAGATCTTCTCCATCTCGTTCAGTCTTTTGGCGCGCAGATCGGCGGCCTGCAGCCTCCTCAGGATGACTTCCTGTGATGTTTCGCTCTGCTGACTGTCAGGCTGCAGGTTCTCTTTGCTTTCGCCAGCGAAGTGGACCTTCTTCTTGCCGGGGGATAGATTCTCCAGATCTGCGGCGAACAGAGCAGGGAGTCAAAACGACCGAAGAGCTTTATCGAACGAGATGTTTTGCAGACACTTTTTGTTGTAATTAACAACACCGGTGTAAAAAAATAAATAAAAATAAAACTTTATTCACATGATTTCATCACAGATTCATTAACACATAAAACCACAGCTGTCTCAGTTTCTGCCTCGGTTCAGAAAGTCCAAACGTCCCAGTTGGACTCCCATACCTATGTCTGCAGCACAGAGCAGTGCCGGGTCCTTCTGGAGCTGCAGGCGGCTGTGATCCTTCAGCAAACTCTCTGCTCTGAAAGCACAGGTCAGAGTGAAACATAGTGTCGAATGAGCAAAAATAGGTCAAACTGTTGCAGAAGTTTTACCGTTCAAGCTTCTTGTTCGCCAGTCGCTCACGTGCACACAGCTCCTGCTCTCTTCCTGCCATTACAAAATAAGTTAAAAATTGTTTTGTTAACAGTATTTTTCATAAACGCACAGGTAAACACCAACTGTCAGCCAGGAGCTGTGGGAGGAGAAGTGGGTCAGCATTTGATCGAAACGTTTCTGCAACATGAACAAACCTGCTCCGACCACACGGGCCCAGTCAGACGGAACCAGAACTTTTTTTTGTTTTTAATCACAAAACAGCATCGTCTTCCTTTAACCTGATGAGAACTCACATTTTTAGTCTTATTATTGAAGCCAACGGTCAGGATGTTTCCGCTCATGACTTTGCTCGTCAACTCTGTCTGTTAGCAAAATATCTCACGAACTACAGGACGGGTTTTAATGAAACTTTCAGGGAACAATCATTCCATGTTTGTTTACAGCTGATTAACTCTGACTCAATTCAAGATGGCTGCCACAGTCAACACAAAAGTTGCTTCACTTCATTCAGGTTTTACAAATATTGCGCTAAAGTTTGGCATTAAATGTTTGAATCAACCTTGTCTGTCTGTTAGCAAAATATCATTTGAACCAGCAAACGTATTTTAGTGAAACTTTCAGAACGAAGTCGTTAGCTTTGCATCTGAAACTAATTAACTTTTAAAGTCAACACAAATCAAGATGGCTTTTTTAGAGTGAGTTTTCAAAATACATCAACTTTAATTACAAAAAATACTCATTAAAATGCATTATGATCTTTTAAATTTATTCAAAAACATTTCTTTCTCTTTAAAATCAGTTTCAGCAAATGTGTTTTATTTTTATCTTTTCATGCTCCTGTTAGCTTTAAGCTACAGTTTTTTCTTTAGCTACCATTTTGTTGATATCAGCAGTAAGCTATTGCTTTGCTAATTGCAGCTTTATGCTAAGGTTTTTCTGTTTTAGCTTTTAGATGCAGTTGTATTTATTTTAATTGTAGTTATAGTTTTATTTTAGTTTTCAGCTACAATTTAGCAAATTTTAGCTTTTAGCTGCAGTTTTGTTGTGAGGTTTAATTGTGGTTTTGCAAATTACAATGTTCAGCTTTTGTTACCATAGTTTTTTATTTCAGTTAATTTTGTTTTGCAGATTTTAGCTTTTCTCTTTTAGCTACTGTTTTTCTACTTTAGCTATCATTTTTAGCCAGCTTCTTCTCTCCAAGGACAAAATATAAATGCTGGGGTGACCATGCCTTTTCTGCAGCCACACCTCGTCTCTGGAATCAGTTTGGTTACTGAAGTTGGATCCTTTAAATCGAAGCTTAAGACCTTTTTTTTTTTATTCCAACAGGCTTTTAATACTTGAAAATGTGATGACATTTCTGGTTTTAGTTTTTGCTATTTTGTTGTGTTTTCTTGTTTTTAACTTGTTGTCATGTTAATCACTGACTTTGTGAAGCACTTTGGTCACCAGCACTGTGGTTGTGTGAAGCATTATAGACAGAGTTGCACATAAGTGGTGCACATGCGCGATCAAGAGAGAAAAAGCACACCAGATGGAATGTCATAAAGCTCTCTTGCGTACCTAAGATTGTACCTGAGATTGTGAAAACAACAGCTAGCAGGGTCACAAATGCGACCTGATTTCTTAAAAACAAACAAAACAAACAAAACCAGCCTCACTGGTGTGACTGGATCGTCGTTCTGTCAGAGGAGGGCAGCGGGGCCCTGATGTATAAGGATTAAACAGACACTGCTTTTAACGAATCAGACAAACTCCAGAGCCGTTTTATCCAATCAGAGCAGAGCAGGACGAGACTTTCAGTCAGAGCAGTTTTCAGCTGCAGTTTTCAGCAGCGGCTGCAGCGGTCAGTCCTGACATCTCCTCCTGCACTTTGTTCCTGAACTACCAGAGACTTTGGTCTCTAAAACCTAACTTTATATTTAAATATATGTTCAGAGCGTTGTTATGCAACATATCTGTCCAACTTTGTGTCAGTGAATAAACTCTCCTCCTGAGAGACAGGAACGCGCCTCAGCGCAAGCTCTTCTAAACCATCCCTCTAACAGAAGAATATTTGTTTGCCCCATATCAAAGCAAAGATGAGTCTCTGTTTAACGTCACCTCCCCATCCAAAAAAATAAAAACTTGCCATGTTCTCTAGGTGAATGAGTTTAAATGTTATTTTAATTTATCAGAAAGATCCACAAATTTAATTCTTCACAAATTTTATGATAAGAACAAGATTCTTGATGTGTTAAACATGTTTGTATTTAGAATCATACTGTGACACAGCTGCTCTGGGATAAATGTAATTCAATAAATGATAAAATKTGAATAATAAATCATTTTAAATTATTACATGTGCTGAAACCATTTAAATATAATCTTTTTGTATAAAATAGTTTTAAAAAAATAAATCAGTCTAACAAATAAAACATTTGTTCTGCGCAGAAGACAGATATTTGCTGCTTGTTCTGGAGAGTGTATAAAGCTGGTTTAAACAAGGCCAAAGATCTAGAAGGCCAAATTACAGAAGCTGTCCATCACAGGGTCATGTGTAACCTAACAGACATTTAAACATGAAATGTTCAGTTTGACATGACATGTCCCTATGGGTCAGCCACTTAGGTAGTTTACAAAATTTATGCAGAGTAAAAAAAATTAAATAAATACAAAACTCTGATTTGGCATGATGTCCTGAGACATTGCAGCTGATAGAAGGCATCATAAAACAGAACAGGGCAATATTAAATGCCCTGATGCCCCTCTAGATCAATGTGTTAAATGAGTGAAGGAACATAGCGCACCCAGCAACAACCCCAGGCTCTCCACTGAGAACCAGACCAAACATTTTATGTGCAACCGTTTATAGAAATAAATGAAATGAATTTTTATATTTCAGCATTTGGCTACTGCTGATTGTCGCTTTATGCTAAGGTTTTGCTAATATTAGCTTGTAGCTAAAGTGTAATTTCAGCTTTTGGCTACAACTGAACAAATTTTAGCTTGTAGCTGCAGTTTTGTTTCAAGCTTTTAACTATGGTTTTGCAAGGTCTAGCACTTAGCTTTGTTATGCTAGTTTTAGATTTTAGTAAAAAAAACATAACTTTTATACTGATTTTAGCTTTTTCTCTTACTCTTATTACTTTCAGCTATTAGCTATAGTTTTGTTAATTTTAGCTACTGTTCTGCTAATTTTAGCCTTTCACTCTTTTGCTCAGTGTAGTTTGCATTTTGCTCATTTTAAAATCAGCTGTAACTCTGTCAGTTTGATAAATATTAAGCTACAGTTTGATGTGGTAGTAGCTGAGAGTCATCAACACCTTTAGCTCTAACAGATCAGATATCAGAATCAGAACCACTCGACTTGTCAGAAACAGCCGAGGAAGGTTTCGGCTCCATCAGCTGTGCTGTTTGTGTGGCTCATTAAAACCTGGAAGCCTTACTCTCCAGCCGCTCCTCGCGCTCCTTCAGCGCTCGCTCTCGGTCCCGCAGCGCCTGCTCCCTCAGCCGGAGCTCGGCAGTCGGTGGGGACGCCTCAGCCGGTTTGTTGGGGGGGCATCCGGGGTCCGGGGAACTCCTCAGGGCCCGCACCCGGGCCTTTCTCTGCTCCTCTGCGACCACGTCCCTCAGCAGGCTGCTCTGGAGGATGGACTCCACAGATGGCCTCAGATAGTCCTGCCAACAAACACGACTGGTTTTAATGAACCTCCCGTAATAAAACACTACGTTCAAAGTTTCCAACCTTTAAGTTCAGCATTTTGCCGAGCAGCGAGTTCAGATCCTCGGAGTAACGGTACGGGATTCTTCTGAACCGCCCCTCCCTGATCCTCTCCGCCAGCTCTCTCTGGTTGTACGCCGTGAACGGAGGCCTGAGCGAGAAAACGGTCAGATCCCACGGAAATCTGCTGCTCAGTTAAAAATAACACGTGTTTACGAAACTTACGATAACGCACAAAGTTCATACAACAAACACCCCAGAGACCAAATATCTGACTTTTCATTGTACGACATCCTGTTGACCTGTTCCTGAAAGAACAAATGAAAAAAAGAGAAAAGATGGAAAACTTTTCTTCTGTTGTTTAAAATGGTTTTATTTTTTAAATCTGTTTATTTTGAAGTATAAATAGTCAGCATGTTACTCGCAGCAAATTATCCGATGCTCACAGATTACCAGATTAAACACTATAAATATAGATTATTGTGGGAATGCTGAGTCATCATCCACACATTCCTGTTTGTGATTTTTCCTGAACACTATTTATGCATATTTTGTATCATTTTAAACTGTTCAATTATCAAAACATTCAGCTCCATCAAAAATAACATGTTGACCTTTAGTATCTAAAACTTTTATTTTTCAAAATCCATCCATCCATCCATTTTCTGTACACGCTTTATTTTATTTAAAAAAACATACACGTTAAAAAATTTTTTACTGTTGCTACCTTTGTTTCAGTAAACATGTTTTATTTTTGTTTTCTGATGTTCCAGTTAGCTTTTAGCTACTGCATTTCTACTTTTAGCTATGGATTTTGTGATTTTAGCTATTAGCTAGTTTCATTTATTTTAGCTTATAGCTGCAGTTTTGTAGTTCTGAGCTTTTAGTTAGGGTTTTGTGAATTATAGCTTTCAGCTTCTGTTAATGCTAGTTTTAGATTACAGCAACATTTTTGCTGACTTTAGGTTTTATTTTATTTATTTATTTTTACCAATTCTAGCTATTAGCTATTGCTTTGATCCATTTATACTTTTTTCCTATTTATTTATTTCATTTTAGCTTTTAGTTACAGTTTTGCTGATTGTAGCTTTTAGTTATATATTTGTTAATTTGAGCTTTTAGCTATGGTTTTGTTGCAACAGTTTTGCTAATCAGGTTTAGCTTTTATCTTTTTAGCTTTTATCAGCAATTTTTAGCTATTAGATGTCATTTTGTTGCTCTCAGCTTTTAGTTATGGTTTTGCATTTGCTAGTTTTTGATTTTAGCTAAAGTTTTGCATAATTTAGCATTTAGGTTACTCTTTTATTAATTTCAGCTACTGTTCTGCTCAGTTTTAGCTTCCACCGTTCTGTTCAATGTAGCTTGTATCTAGCTCATTTGAACTTTTCTTCTGCTTCTTTTATTTTTAACTCAGCTTCAGCTTGGAAATACAAGCCGGTCCGGCCCGACGGTGTAATTCATAGATTAGTTTGATTTTCACAACAAACTATTTGCTGAAAACTAAATGTGACAATTATTCACAAGTACTTCACAACCCTGACTAGCTAAACTGACTCTGAATTGTTCTCCTGAACTGAGTTGAGAACACTTGAAGTTTTTATCACTCAGCCTACAGGAGACATGTAGTACGGCGTTCCAACAAACGTCTTGGCGAAGCTGGAGTCGTGGTTCAGAATCCTGGCCAGGCCGAAATCGCCCAGCTTCACGTTCTGCCTGCTGTCCAGGAAGATGTTGGCGGGCTTCAGGTCCCGGTGCAGAACCGTGGCCCTGCCGTCACTCCTCCTGTGGCACTCCTTCAGGGCCAGGGTGAGCTGCGCCATCACCCGCAGGACGAACTCTTCCTCCAGGTAACGCCTGCGGGGACACGGACCTGTAACTCCACAGGTTCTCAGAGGAGGAACCCCTTCAGACCCCCGCCCCCTCGATTGTGGTTACCTCTCCTTGATGCAGCGGTTGATGAGGCAGGACAGGTCCCCTCCTTCACAGTACTCCATGATGATGTACAGCGTGGCGTTGGCGCGGTCTATGATGCGGTTGTAGTACCTCACGATGTTTGGGTGCTTCAGCTCCCTCAGAAGGTTGACCTCTGAAACCAGCATCTGCTTCTCGCTCTCTGCCATGGTGCCGTAGTCCAGTTCCTTCCACACAAGAACCTACACATAAAAAAGACTGTTTCTGCCTGTRTGTCTGTTAGCAAAATATCTCATAAACTAAAGCATGGATTTGAATAAATCTATCAGAGTTTATACATTGGATGTACATCTACAACTCTTTACCCTTTGGACTCAATCGAATCCAAGATGACCGACACAGCAAAGTGCTTTTTGCGAACACATAGATGGCAACAATTCAGTCAATTTTACAGAGATCAATCTAGAGTTAGTGGGGGTAGTAGCCGAGACTGATCCTCAACCTATATCCTGAGGGCTAAAAAAATTGTGCAATATCTTTCTTTAAAATGTCCCATTAAGTCTTGGGAGTCACTTCTCTCTGTCTGTTAGCAAAATATCTCATGAACCACTGGAAGAATTTTACTAAAACTACCCGTAGATAATCGTTAGGTGTGCATCTAAAGCTGATTAACTTTTAGAGCCAATCTAATTCAAGAAGGCCAACACAGACAACTGAACTTGGAAAACACAAAAACTGATATAATTCAGCAAGTTTTATAGATATCATGCTACAATCAGGTGTGCTAGTAGCTGAGAATCAATCACTTAATTACTGTTCATTGCATTTTCATTGTCACAAGAAAGCTGTTTTAAATTAAACTGACAGTTTTGCAAATTATACGTGTTTAATGACATTTGGAGCCATCTTTTTAAACTATCTTTTAAAACCTGGGTTGTATTTGCATTTGGAAAAATACTCACTTTCCCATCACTTTTTCGTCTTATTTTCTGGCACCGTCCGTAAGAACCGGAGCCTATAGTGTACAAAACCTCGTAGTCCTCCACACTGGACGGCATCTTAACGGCACCGGAATGAACGGTAGCTCAGCTGTTTGTGTGGTTTAATGTTGAATTAAAGCAGCGGTTTAAAAACCCGTCCAGACTTTTCACAAAATAAATCGTTCTTGCCTTTTAAAATGATTTCATGAAGTCTAAAGTTTACATTCCCCGTCACATGCTCGCTTCAGTCGCTTGTTTGTTGTTGCTTCTTAAACAGGAAGTGCGCTGTTTTAAATTGGTGCCGAAATGCTTGACTGTGATTGGCTGTCGCTCGAAGCACGCTGACTCCTGATTGGTCTATGAGGAGTAACAACTCGGGAGGTTGCTAAGCGCCTGAGAACCGCGAGAGTATCGCGGGTAGATGACGTCCAGTCTTCTGACCACAAGGTGGCGCCAAAAACAGGACAAATAAATTGCTGAATTAAAATATGTTTTAATTTTTAAAAAAGTGAATTATTTTTAGTAACACACTTCCCTGATTTGTGTGATCTATTTTATTAGTAAATCAAAGCTACCAGTTGGTATTCTTATTCCAGATAGTTATTAAAATAAATCTCGAATAAAACTCAGAACACATGATCTAAGTGCTCATTAATTTTCCTTCCCTAAAACTTTAGCATTAACTGTCTGATTCAACCTTCTTTGTCTGTTAGCAAAATATCTCATGAAAAACTGGATGAAATTTGCTGAAACTCTCAGAGAGTGACCAATGGATGTGGATCTACAACTATTATTGGAATTAATCAAGATGGCCGCCACAGCTGATCACTCTTAACCAATGAAGTTAATTTTACAGATGTTCTTAAAAGGACTTATCGTTTTTGCTGAGATAAGAGTATATAAATAAATAAGAATAAGTAAATATAAATAAGAGTCATTATTTTGTTTCCCCACTCATTTATCTGAATCCTGAACTCAAAGCGAAGGTCAGAGAAGCATTTATTTTAGTTTCAGCAGGGGTGAATGGTGTAAAATTGTCTCATTGGGAGGTAGTTTCTCTAAAAGTGGGCTCCCTGTTCAAGATAAAGGTAGTCTCTGTCAGTGAGGGGGTCCCTTCAGTGGGGCAGATTATCCTCTCAGAGAACACCGGCCTGTCAGTCAGCCCCTGCGAAGGTCACTCCTCCAAAAAGCTGGAGGAGTTTGGACGTCAGCCAGAACCGTTGCGGGGAGGATGAGGAGGAGGAAGGTGGTGGTGGGGGGGAAGCGAGTGGAAAACTGACAACAGAGATGGTCTGGTTGCTGGAGGCAAGTGCACGAGTGGCACAGAGAGGACAGCTCCGTCCCATAATAACCCCCTCACCTCTGCTGAGGTGACTGTGAGGCTGTAGCTTTGACAAGTCTGACGTAAACAAAAAAACCAGAATGCAAACCTGACAAACGAGTCAACAGGTTTGACCTGGGGGTCTGAACACCAGCTGTGGAGGTCACTCTGCTGCAGTGACGTTCGGCTGCTCCACAGCTGGATGTTTTACTGCTCGCTGACTCAGGGGACGCCGGCCGCCATCACTGCAGCGTGACACCGAGGACCTCGGGGAGCACTGCCCCGTGAAAGAGTTGTCTGCGGAGGAACACCGGTGCCTCTGCAGAGCGCATTAACGTGATTGTAGAGATGAATGTGTCTGTGTCATGTTGGTGACCTTGTTCACCCCCTGTGCAGAGTGTGTGTGTGTGCAGCGTGTGTGTGTCCTCCAGCAGCAGCAGCCTCCTCAGTTAGCCCTTCAGTATTTTGGTATAACTGAGTATTTAATCCTGTTTTCCAGCTCTCTTCCTCGATTCTCATCTTCAGCTTCTCCTGCAGACGTTGACGCTGTCACCAGCTGCTGAGTTTTTATTTATTCTGTGAATCAAACATTTTACGACAGCTTTGCAGATCAGTGTGTATTGTTTTAGTTTCTGCCAGAGCTGGTAAAACTGGTGACCTGTTGTTTTAAATCAGCTGGTTCAGGGTGCAAGCATTCATGCAGAGAAAAGTGCTGAGAAGTTTTGAGTTCATCTACTTCCCTTTTGATAATTTTAACTTTTAGTTCCAAATTTCAGCTTTTAGCTATTGTTTTACCTAATCTTAGCTTTCGGCTACATCTTTGCTCATTTACACACCAGTTTAGTTTGTTTCAGTCTCTTCAGCACATTTTACCCAAACCATTCAGCATTCCCGTTGCATTTATGCAGAGATTCAACAGCCAAAAACTGACAGCACAGGTAAATAACAGGTACACGGAGAGCAAAAACAAGATTTGGTTACCCACATACCAATAACAGCCTATTTTCCACAAACAAACTTAATATGTCAGATAAACAAGAAAATACACTTCAGAGGTCTACAAAAGCAGCTAGCTGCCAGCTACTAGGGGTGTAAGAAAATATCGATACACTGAAATATCGCGATATTTCATTTCCCGATATTGTATTGATATTCTAAAGCCCTGTATCGATTTTTTTTTATTAAGGTTTAAAATGTCAACTTTCCTGCCAACCATTCATTTTCATGTTGTAGTTCAGCCTCTGACCACTAGTTGGCAGCAGTGAGCCTGGTTCACTGCTGCCAACTAGTGGTCAGAGGCTGAACTACAACATAAAAATGAACGGCTAGTTGGCAGCAGTGAGCCTGGTTCACTGCTGCCAACTAGTGGTCAGAGGCTGAACTACAACATAAAAATGAACGGCTAGTTGGCAGCAGTGAGCCAGCCGTTTGGCTACTCTACCTCTTGAGGTAGAGGCTATTATTAAGTGTTGGGTGACCATATTGTAAATTAATATTAAAAACTAAAAGCTGCAAAAAATACGTTTTCAAACTATTTATTGTCAAATTTAGTCTAATAATTGAAAACATGGATGAAATAAGAAATATGAAACAAATAAAATAAAATACATACAAAGCAGAACACAGCTAAATGTATCAAAAGCATGTCTCTGTAATATTAGAATTTTCTGAGACAATGAATTTTGGTTTTTCATTTTTTTCCCCTGTAAGATGTTGTTATTTAATAGAATTTTTGGACAAAAAAATCGTAATATATCACAATATATCGCCTTGTTTACAGTATCGCAATATATCGGGATATATCGTATCGTGACCCCTCTGTCATGATATGTATCGTATCGCCAAATTCTTGCCAATACATGCATGATACATTTAATTTTTGTATCAAATAATTAGTTGAGTCTAGAAAGAAATATATTTAAGTGCAATGCATGTTATAAACTTAGACATTACTGAAATAACTACCAAGTTAAGTATTTATTTACACATTAGCTAATTTTAATATTGTGCACATTATGCATTAACTAGAGCAGCTAATGTGGCAAAGTTACATTTATTTATAAACTAATTTGTTTTTGTATTTAACAATTAGTTGAGTTTTGAAAATATAAGATACTGAAGTTAAAGTGCAAGAGGTTAAAATTTACAGACTACTGAAATAACTAGAAAGTATTTACTTATTTGCTAATGCTAATGTTGTGCATTAGCTGCAGCAGCTAGCTGCTAGAACAACAAAATAGCTTTTACCATTTAATTATTAGGGTTGAGTTCTGAAAGGAAAAATGTTTTTTTTTCTTAGTACAAGGAAATGTGTAAGTAAATGAGCCAATATATGTACTTTTTACAAGACTTTCTTGTCAGTCATTTCAACATTTAGAAACGATTTCACGTAGACCGCTAAAACACAATAAAGAGATGCACACTGTTAGGATCTTTATGTTTTATTCCAGCACAAGTTTTTTGTGTTGTAAAATGGCTGTGTAGCTAGGAATTAAAGGAGAAGTACAAAATGGAAAAAAATAAAAATAAAATAAAATTATAGACAGTTCCAGTACAATATGTTTAAAACCTCAACTGTGTTCATTTCCTGAAACCACATCTAGCAGAACATTATTTCCCTGCCTTCTTTGGAAATGTGATTGAACCATAAAAAAATAAATCAAATTAAAGAAAAAAAAACTAAAACAAAATAAAGATGATGCTTTGTTTCAGGTCACTCTCACAATGAAGGGGGAATCTGAACGATGACACATTTACAGTCTGATTCAAAATGTTTTCACCTACCTCGTCAGGTAGCCCTTTTTTGTATTTCACACAGTTTTTAACTAACAGTGGCACAGCAGGAGGGCAGCAACTAAAAAATGCACCTTTCTTTTTTTTTGCATTAGTCTGACAATGATATATCTACTGTTCCTCTCTAATTTGTATGATTAAAGCAGGCTTAAGAAGCTACAAATTTATCTGACCTCGAAACCACAACGCAGGTTCAATCGAACCCCCCGAAATGGTTCCTTCCACACTGGCCCACTTTTATCTGAACACCTAAAAAAAAAAAAAAAAAAAACCCAATGTGTCAAAAGGGAATGCGAGGAATTATTCAAGATAAGGCTCTTCCATTAAATCTGCATTTAAAAAGGTTGCTGCTGCGCACGCGGAGCTTCAGCAGCCTTTATTGTAAAAACATGATTAAAGAAAAACTCAGGGTAATACTTTTCTTTTTGTTTGCACCCCTCCTTCCAGAAAACATTCATAATTCAAAATAAAATCATCACAGAAAAAAAAAATTGAAGTAGACGCTGCAGTCATTTCCAACATTTTCTCAACTTTGTTACAAGATTTAAACATAGCGATGACACGGAGAGAGAACAGTTTATGTCATCTAAAAAAAAATTTAAAGAAAATCTTTGACCACTGGAGGTGAATCTGTTTTCAAAAAGTAACGTCACAGAGCAACACGACATGAGTCTTATCTATAAAAAATGAGGGTTAAAGACGACCACGCACACTCACTTAGGCAGGTTATGCTGTAAATTTACAGTTATGACACCTAAAACTCTGTATGCCAAAAACTCTTGGGGTAGCTTCCTATAAAAACAAACAGAGAAAGTTTTTTTTTTTAATTCCCACCGCCGACAGTAAGCATATGGCTTCAGTATTTGTAAAACTATGTAGTCCAGCAGGACAGTCTCTGCCTTCTCAGTTGCTAAAATGCTCCTCGGGATGGAAATCTAACCAGATTGATTTTTAATCCCCCGTCTTTAAAAGATGGTTTTATTTTCTACTTTTCATAGGCGTTGTTGGAAAACACTTACCCAAGCGACACGTCCTTTTTTTTCCGGCTTTCATCTGGGTCTTTATTACAGCCCCCCCACCCACACCCGTTTATCTTTTTTTTTCAGCAAGCTCACGATACGGCCACGAAAGACAAGGCGGACAGACCGACGATGAAGAAACCAAATAAAAACAAACATGGACAACAAATACGATGGCCGTCGTCGTCGTGAAGATATGCAGGTTGAGGAAAGAAAAATGAGAGAAATGAAAAACATCAACCAGCTACCACTTTTTTTTTCTTTGTGGAGTCTTTTCCTGGGGCAGGGAGCAGTCAGGGCAGTATGGATCTTTAGTGCAATGAAGGCCAGAGTGAGCGTCTCCAGTGTTTTTCTATTCACTTGTTTTAAACACGCCGTTCGCTCTGGAAGGTGTAGCCAAGCTGGCTCATAAACCGACTGACGGAGAGGTCCGGTGGGCTTCGACGACGACTCTCACGAGGAGGAGGAGGAGTTACGGGTGTTTTGCGTTCATCCATTCATACTGCATACTCTGTTGGAACTACTGCGCCTAAAGCCTCGGAACGAAAGGGAGTCCAGTCCAGTCCAGTGCGTCTTCTGGAGGAGTCCTGAGCCTCGTTAACGCTAATTAAAAGTCCTGTAGGCGGTGTCTACATGAAAGGGACGTGTAAACATTAACATGTGAGGGGCGTGAGAGATTATCTGCTGGAGCGAGTTGTGTGGCGTTAGGTCTGTGTGCAACTTAACCACCTCTGTCACCATATTGGTACGGATTTTTTGTCAGTTTCGGTTCATTTACTTGTTTTTTTTTCTTCTTCTCGTTGTTCCTTGTTAAGTCTCTCCACCGTTGCAGATGTACATTCATCCATCGTAGAGGGAGGAGGAGGGGGTAAAGTGTGACGATGGAGCCACACGCCGTCCGATCCTGAGGCTTTTCCAGTGGTCCGATAAAGACCCCCGTCAGCACGCTCAAAATAAACAGCAGTAGAGGTACTGGAGGACGTTGTACCACATGTAGCCGGAGGCGAACGCAAACGACTGGATCATGCAGAGCCACACGGGGTCAAGGGTCATCTGTCGGGACGCTGCCTCCTTCTGTCCTTCTGGGGGAGGGAATGACCCTGTGGGGGGATGAATACACAGACGGTTAGTTTCATATTGAGATGATCTGTTTTTATTCTTTTTGTTCTATTTAAACAATTCTCACATCTAAACATTCAGCTCAATCATGCCATGGGTGCCGTGAGTTTTGATAATTCAGCAACTTTTCAGATATTTAGCTTCTTCAGCCACTTTTTTCCTCACTGAAATAAATGGAGCTGTCTTCAACATCCTTAAAACTCTTCAAAATGTTTACATATTATATTATATTACATTATTATCACATACATTATTACATTATATTATATATTTTACTCTGGTTCTGCTTCTTTGTGCTAATTTCAACCTTCTTGTTTTTGGCCAATTTTTAGTTTTTTCCCCTGCTATTTCTGCCAATATCATCTTTTTTGTGCTTATTTTGTCTTTTTAATGCTAATTTAAAACAGCCTGTGACATGCATAGTCTTCAAATACAAAAAGTCAAAGAAAACATCTTTATATTGCAGAAAGTTGGTATAATACACAAGATTTAACCCATTTTGTTCCATAACTGGCATATTTTCTTTTGAATTTGGCTCAGCCAAAGTGAAACAGGAAGTGACATCAGAGGGGAACTCTTTAACAAAGAAAACTCTCTGGTCTTTGTTTATTGAAACATTATTATTTGAACTCTGACTCTTCATCTCTCTGATAGTGACTCAAAATAATCTTAAGAAACATCAGATTCTTCTCTACAGTCTGTGTTGTTAGCTGTTGTAGCAACGTTCTGTTTACATTCAGACATTCCCCTTTGACATCACTTCCTGTTACTTCACAGGCAAATATATCAACTGTTCATCTCAGCGACATGAAATTTATTTTGCAATATTTCATCAATGTCCTCTTTCTAAAATCGCATTCATTTGTATTACAAAAATTTGAAGTCACAGGCACTTTAAGTTTTTTTTGCTTTTTAAGCTACTTTTTTAAGCTGAAATCAGTTTTAACTGATTTTAGCTAAATTTAGCATTTTTTTTCTATTACCGTAACTTAACCTGATTGTGATCAAATCAGCTTCTTGCTGCTTAATTTAGCAAACATCCTCTTTCTGCTACAATCAGCTTTTTAGCTACTTTTTAGCTATTTTAAGCTTGTTTTAGCTTTTTCTATAATTTTATCACAAAACGTAAAATGTTTTGTACTTCTTTGTCTGTTAATGTCAGCTATTTTACTGTCCTCTGACCCTCCGTCTGCTAAATCCAACCTGTCTCTGCTATTTTTAGCTACATTTCTGCTCTGTTCAGCTCTTTCGAGACATTTTAGCTATTTTTTCCTGCTGATTTTTCACTTATTTCCTACTTTCAGCAAACGTTAGCTGTTCAAACTGAACTCACATTAACTGTTTAGTGTTTAAACATTTTCAGTTCTTCAGCAGCTTTCAGTAAAACTCTTTCAGCAACAAGCAGTCACACTGCCTTTTCTCAGGAAATAAAAATCCTCTGGTTAAACTTACTGTGAAGTCAGAGTAATACGCTCCTCTGCTCTCTAGCCTGAACATATAATCTGATGTTCTAACCCTACTTTAAAGCCTTGACTGTGTCGGACCTACCTGTGTCGTAGAAGTGGGCCAACAGCTTTTCCTTCTCCACAAACCTCTGGTAAAGCCAGTTGGTCAGGGCCTCGGCCTCCACAGGAACCTCTTTTATTGGGTACATCCTGACGGATGAGAAAACCAGAGGGGGGGATGTGAAACGTGACAAATCTTTACTGAACTTTCACTAACAAATATCCATGAAAGCTGCAGACCCAAACCAGTAAAACCACTAAAACAAGTCAACGTTCAGGAGAGAAGACGATTCAGAATACATTTTTAACCACAGAGTCGTTTGCTAGTGTTAGGCCAAAATAATTAATCATTTGCCGTAGCTAAACTAAAAGCCCCTAAAAGTGTTAAATAAATGCAGGATAATCAAGTAATTTCTAATTGAGAACACCCACAAACTAAAAGTGAACGTTAAATTAAACATACTAATGATCTGCTGTGATTTTAATTTGTTTCTCGTAGTTTTAGAACGCCTTTATGTCCCGTCTCATTGAATGCATCTTAAAAAGCAGCAAACTGGTAAAAAGAAACACAAGTCTGAACTCCCTCAGACCACCTTCAGAGGAGGTCTGGACCTCTTTAATCCGCCCACCTATGGTAGTCTGAGCATAATCCGTCCTGAGCTTGCTCTGACCTGACGTGACCCCAGTCAGGCAGCAGAGTGCAGATCTTTGACTAAAAGAAAAATGAAAATAAAAAAGGAGCTCATTGGGAATATTCTGAAGATTTAGTGGTTTTATATTTGCTAAAAGCTTTAATAAACTATTCATCTCTGTTCTCCATGACTATTGCAGAAACAGCTGAACTAACGTAGTCGTCCTGTGAAGGAGTGGGCGGAGTCTCCGCTTGGGTTACCAGGTGAGAGGCTGGGTGCACCTTGTTAGGTTACCTGGATTGTGACGTAATAATCCACAGGTTTTTGAAACAGCTCATTTGTTGACACTAACAAAACATTTACATACTGAAGCATAAAAATATGGAAAAAAGCTGAATTTTGCATAATAGGTCCCCTTTAAACCTAAATAAACACAAGGCTTGTTTGGGTTAAACCCTCGTGTTTTTGCCCTCAGACAGTGTTATAGCTAATTAAAACAGCTCTGAACCAAGGTGAAACAATAATATAGCTCTGAATAAACACATTTTTAAATAAAAACATCAGCACACCTGTGCTATCACCTATCTGACAACCTGTGAGACGTGGCTGTATTTGCGTACAGAGCAGGTAAATGACCTCCGACTGCAGAAACAATTTGGGCGCATTAACCACCAGGTGTGAGTTCACCCAGAGGTGACAACCTGCAGATAAACGACAACTCTGAAGAGCCTCTACACAAAGAAACGGGGCAGGTTTACATGTTTGCTTGTGTACGCAGGAAAACATCAAATAATATTAAAAACCTGAACCTCTCTGTAACTCTACCTCGGCCCTGGTTGCTTTGAGCAGAGAGCCGCCTCGATGTGGGCGGGATCAAAATATTAAACACGCATGAATCTTATTTTATTTTATGACTGCACCAAACTCAAAAGTAAAGTACTGAAGACTGTACAGGACCATCCAGCTGTATGAGGCAGGACGACAGAGAACTGTAAGCTAATGGTGGCTAATGTTAGCTTGTTGTGGTTGTAGAACCAACATTCATGTTTTTGGTCTGTGGGAGGAAAACAGACTACCCGGATAAAACCAACGCATGCACAGAGAGAACACGCACCCAGAAAGGTCCCCGGCCGGGATTCGATCCGACAACCTTCTTGCTGAGAGGCAACAGCTCTACCAACAGTCTGCAGTTTGAACCCAAGGAGTCAGCTGAGATTTCACCTCAAACGGGTGTCGATTCCAGCTGCCTGTGTTTGCTGATGATGTTTGTGTTTTCGTTAAGTGTCACAGGCAGACAGAAGTGCTGAGGGGAGCCCCGGCAGCAGACAGACTCACGCAGCTCCACTAAACGACTCACGAGTGAGTCAGAAACATCTAACTGCAACAGTTCAGTCGGCTCGGCCGTCGAGAAACTGAGAAGTCAGCTGCAGCTCAGTGACAGGCAGCGGTCCTGAAAACCCACAATAACTTCAGAGAGTTTACAGTGGTGCAGTTTTAGCTGTTTTTAATTTTAACGTTTTTTTCTTGGAACAAAAAAAAAAAAAAAGAATTGAAACATCTTTAGAGGCCAACATAGAACAAAAGAAGCATTCCTTTAATGCAGATCACCTGCCACCTTACAGGACCAGGTTTTATCCAAAGATCAGGTGCCATCTGTTACATGTTCGGGATGACGCTCAACTACCACCACACCAGATTTTAGCTCAGCATCTGTAAAATTATTGGAGTTATAGACAGCTTTGGCGACCATTTTGAACTGAGTTGACTTAAAAAAAAGCTGCAGATGTATATTTAATGATTAATTTCTGGGAGTTTTATTAAAATCCCTCCAGTGGTTTATGAGATATTTTGCTAACACACAGAAATGGACAATTACATGATTATTTGCCTTTTGTATCGACTGGCAATAACAAGTGACAAGTGAGTTTTTCAATCAAATAGTTGCTGTTTGCTTCAACTCTACTGTAATATTTATATTTAGTCATTTTTTTAAGTAAAATAAAAATATTATTTGATGTATTTAAGTTACAAGAGGAGCTGTAGTTCTTCAGTTGAATGTTTTTCAAATATAATAACAGTTTTTTTTTGTGAATCAAGCTTTAAAATTTTTTTAAAAAGATGATTTTTGTGGGTCAGGTTAAAAAAAGAGCAGATGATGAAATCCCATATCTGCCCAGCAGGGGTCTCTAGCGAGCTGCAGCCCACACAGCCAGCTCTTGGTCACCTTCAAATAGAGGTTACCATCTCCTGCCTGAGACCAGCATTTTCCTCTGCGCTCAACATCTGCTCAATATTCCTGTCCAGACAGCGTCTCGTGTAAATCTGACCCAATCAAACAAACAAAACCTCTCAGCGAGGGAAGAAACCAGCTGCACGCAAATGTTGCCTGCTAATTTATTGCTGCTGAAGACGACACAGGTGATTATTTTATGGTCGGCTGCTCAGAAAGACACAAACAACCAGCAACGTGTATGAACATAAAATACCACTTTCACAAGCAATAATAAAAAGCCAATAAGTTTATTTTATATCCTTTTTTGTAAAGAGTTGATAAAACATCACAAACACAAATGGACAAATTACGCCTCAAGCATGACTTTGATTTCAGATGAATTAAAGTGAAAATGTCTTTTTTTCTTTGTCTTGAGTAAAACTCAAGTTTAGCAGCAGAGGTTAGGAAAATGTATTTCTTGTATAAATCTAAAGTTGCTGATTTACAACAAATCTTTTTCTTTAAAAGCATCATCTGAGGAAACCTGGACTTGGTTGTTGCTGCAGATGTGTTGGCTCTTCTCTGGCAGGTCTGAACGTTTGCACAGGAATTTCTCTGGAAGGGAAACATTAGCTAAAAGTCATAAAACTACTATTTTTTTCTATCCTTATTAGAACCGTGTATTGGCTTCCATATATTTCTGTGGCCTAACCATGATCCTTACCCCACACCTGACTAACCCTCACCCAGAAACGGTGTTCCACCAGCAGACTTTGGTCCCCAAAAGGACTACTGACCCTGACAAGGTGGCTGTTTATACAAGAAAAGGTCCTCAAAAAGATAACAAAAACCAGAAACACTCATGGATTACAAAAATAAATAGATAATGTCTACTGTGACCTGTTAGCAGAGGGTGAAAATAAAAAGTTTTTAAAAGAAACCAACAACAAAGCTGAGCTCTGACGGTCGGTCACCTGATCAGGTGATTAGAGGTGAGGCAGGCTGTTCTTTAAAGCTTCTCTCCTGCAGCAGCTATCAGGTGTCCTACAGGTCTCTGATGGACCAAAGAGACCCAGATTATAGCCAGTATCGCCAACAATAATGCTTTTTGCCTGTGGCTGTTAGCAAAATATCTCAAGAACCTTTAGATATATTTTAAAGAAACTGCCAGGACATAATCACTGGATGTACAAATACAACTGATTAACTTTTAAAGGGAATTCATATTAAGATGGATGCCACAGTTGACTGGCATCACTCAACACATAACTGGTTATAACGCAGGCGGTTTTACAGATACAGATACAATTTGGTGTGGTCGTAGCTGAGATCCAAGTTATTTTTATTCTGATAATAGTCTGTTGGGTTAACTGATCTTTTTATTCAGTTTTAATAAATAAATGAGTGAATATGATCAAGCAGCTCATGCAACTCGTGTAAGACTAGAAAGAGTTTCACACCTTCTGAGCGCCAGCGGAGCTCGGAAACGTAACCTGGCGGCACGGAGGGAAACAAAAGCCGCCTCTGGTCACTTATCAGAGGGTTTGGGCTTTTTTGGCCAAGGAGTAGCAGCTGGCTGCTGCGGCGCTTTTCCTGCAGCTGAAATATTCATGCAGAAATCAGACTGGTCTGGTGCACGGAGCAGCTGCATGGAGCCGCTCAAACAGCTGAGGCTGGACGAGGCGCTTCTGACTGTGGAAGCAGAGAAACAATAACAGGCTTTGATAGCAGGACGGTTAATCAGCTGCTTCCACCCGTTTTATCAGCCGGCTTGTTTTGAGAAAAGAGCTTGAAGCAAAAAGAGCAGCAGATAATGGCTGCAAAACAAAATCAGCCAGAGATACGAGTTCACCAGATTTATTAAAACATCTGATCTCTGATCATCGCTGCGGCTATTAAATACGTGTTTAGTTTTTAAATTTTCTGCTGTCAGATAAAACTTTTAGTTATAAGACATGAGGAATCTTATTACTGTTTTATAAACAGAGCTAAATATTAGTTAAACACTATTAGAAGCAGAACACTAGCCATAAGCTAAATGAGACACAGCACTAGCTAAAAGTAATAAAACACTAGCTAAAGCTTAACAAAGCAAAACAATAGATAAAATTAAAAGCCGAATACTAGCTAAGAGCTAGAAAAAGCAGAAGTAAAAAAGCTTAATTAAAGTAAAAAACCAGCAGCAGTAAATAAATTGCTCAAGTCCAAATAAAGCAAAACATTAGCTAAAAGAAGGAAAAATCTAGTTAAAATCTAAAACTAACAAAAACTCGAGCTAAAAGCTAAAAGTAGCAGAGATGTTGCTAAAAGCAATGTGAAACGAGCACACGGGCTGAGGTGGATTTCACAAAGAAACAATGTTTCTGATGGAACTGAAATGTTCTTGTTTCTGTAAAATACTTGCAAATAAAGTTTTAATGTTTTGAAAAATCATAGCCCCCCCCCCCCTAAAATGAGCTGAAGTTTTGACGAAAGCGTGGCTAAAATCGTACAAAGTGTGCCGAAGCATTCAGTTTGCAGAAAACACGCGGAGAAATAAAAAGGCAACAGTGAACGCTGACTCAGCTTTTAAACCATTAGCTGATAAATGCAGCAGATTCATGTAAAAATAGTATTTTTGTGTTTGACCTGGCTGCACACCTCTGTCATAATGATACACTGAGTATTTGGGTCGTCCGGTGATTTGTTTTGTCTCTTGGAAAGCTTTAATCAACGGATCGAGTAATGGACTCGATTACAAGCTGTAAGGTTATAGCTGCTGTGAGGAGGATCGTCTCAGTCTCCACCCGCTCCGCTGCTCTTTTGTTTACAGTCGAGTGGAAATGGAAGAAAACGACGCCGTCGACGCTGTACGGGGACGAGGAGAGCGTGGTAGTATTTGTAGCTGGAGCAGCAGAGTAATGTAGTGATGATGTCGTGGAGTCGGCACGGGGCCACGGCTGCGCTCTCAGCTCCGCTCTAACCCACTTGGCACCGGCCGCCTCGGTAACCCGACACCCCGCTGAGGCCGGCAGACAGCCGAGGAGGGAGAACTTCAGCATCTCCTCCCACGTGTCAGGAGCCAAACACGACCGCTGACGTCCTGACATGTGATGCTGCGGCGTCTGCGTTTATTTCAGGAGAATCGTCCTGCTGCTGGGAGATTCTGTTTCCCTCTCTGAACTGGCAAAGGAGGCTGATTAAGTCAGACTCTGGCTTTAAATCTGCCCACTCCAAGGGGAACTCTTTGGAGCGACACCAGTCATTGTTTGGTGACTCTATAAGGGCTTAAATCGCTGGCGAGCAAAGTTGTTACACTTATGCATCGGTTTAGGTTTTTAAAACGCTCAAAAAGGCTAAAAAATACCAACATCCTGCCCCTGATTTGCTCCCTAAATCCTACAAAATAAGCAACAATTAAAAATCCCTCTCAAACCTAACACTGACCCTTCAGGACGCTCGCTGAATACCAAGAGCCCTTATCAGCCATGAGAGGGAAGTGGACCGGCGGTTTGAGTCCAGTCTCTAATTGCTCCAGTTAGTCTTCAACTCACTTCCTCTACGTCAAGGCTTTCTTTCTTACAGGAAATGATTTAGCGCAAAACACAAAGGATGCGACACAAACGAGATAAACTAGAAAGCGATCTGTTTGGAACACTGCCACATACTCAGTATATTTAATAAAAAAACAATTAATTAAAGTTTTCCTTAAAAAAGGCTGAATTTTTCAAGCACTAAAGCCGCCCTGCCACGCATCACTGATACTGTAAAGATTCTCTGGCTGCTTTAAAGAATATATAAAAGAAAAAGCGTTAACATTCAGTAAAGAGGAGCGATTTAATTTCCTCACACGGGTGTAAAGAGGTGCTGATGATTCAGCTTTATGATGGAAAACCTGTCAGGACTTTTTATGTCTGTGATGTTGTAAAAAAATTAACAGGAAAAAAAAAGGATGTAAGGGATGATGTGGCAACATCTTATCTTTAGTCGGCTTTAAACCTCACAGCAAACATATTTCCCCACCGCCCGTCGCCGTTCGCTTTTATCTTCGTGTGTACGTGTCAGGAGCAAACGTTCCCCCGGTCACGATGACGGGATCCCTCTGCTATCAGCGCAGAGATCAGGTGGAAGGGCCAATAAAACCACCGGCACAGGTAGAAAAGGTCTATACGACCAGAACTGACTGGATGGTGTCGGAGCAACCTGCGGTTTATGAGAGTTCACGGTCGAGGACATTTGAACTGGAAGCACAAAGAAAACCAAACTGAAAAAACATTTACAAATGGTGAACTAAGTTAGGGTCACTTCTTCCACTGTGTGCACAAAAAAAAAAAGAAAAAAGAAAAAAAAGAACTGCTACGCTAGATCTAGATATCGAAAAATAAGTTTTGACTTGGAGCAACCACCTTTTGATTATCCTGAATGGAAATTTAAAATCTCTATAATTTACATTCTGACAAATCACAGGAACAATTCAAGGAGAGACGTCACTGCATTCGTTATTTAAAGAGATCCACGATTAGTTGTAACATTAGACTTAATTTGATAAACGTATATTTAACTGTACAATAAAGACTGTAAAAATACTGTAGGATGTTTGTTTTGTAAATTTTTAAAAATATATTTTAACATGGACGGAGCCATTTTATTTACACACAAAGCATTCTGGGTAAATGATGACGTGGATAAGTCCTCTGTGCGAGGCTGCTATATCCACCCTGAAGGTTAATCTTGGACAATATCTGATGATCGACTCTTTTAAATGAAACCAGAGAGCGTTGACAGAGAGGAGAAGGTAGAAATGACTCAGCCTGTAACTGAAAATATYGATGGAGGACAACAGAGCTGCTTCATGGAAGAAGAACCTCAGCTTAGCCTGTTAGCCTTTGTGCTAGCGCTGATGCTATATTGCCTTATATGCATTAGCTTGGTGCTAGCGCAACAAACAAACAAGCTAAACTGAGGTCCTCCATCCATCGTTTCCGTTGTTTAGTTTAAAAATGATAAAAACTGAACATCCTACAGTATTTTTACCGTCTTTATTTTACAGTTAAAATATTTGTTTATTAAATAAAGTCTAATGTTACAACTAATCGGGGATCCCTTTAAGGGTCAAACATCCATAACTTAATTATGATGAGTCAGCAGGGGGTGCATAAGCCCCACTTCTGCCACTTCAGTCATTATTTGCTTTCAAGATATCTGCAGTTTAATTTACACTAATTGAATTGATATATCTGATATCTAAAAATACATTTAGGATGTTGGAATTATGACTAGTCAGAACAAAAACAAAGTTAATTTAAAGAGGATTTTTTCTACGCTGAGGCTCTGCTCCTTTTATTCTCCAGTTTTTGTGCTCAACTATTTTAACGAGGAGCATTCTCCATCAGATGAAGTCTGTACAGGTGAGGGACGGCATCAATAATGTCAGTCCTTATGAAGACCCCATCCTCATTAATTATCCCACGACTCTGTTTCTAATGACCGAGACGCTCGTTCTAAGCCACGGGTAAAACATGACAGATGTTGATTCTGAATTAAACGTTTGAGGAGATCAATTAGTCCAAAACGGGTGAAATAGTGAGGAACTCTTGGCTTTGATTTACTTCTCATTAAAGATAAAGTACTCGGAGGAAAATCTCCCTCATGCATTTTAACAACAAAGTATTTATGGCTGCAAGCTCGGCAGCTTGGGGTTAGCGTCTGCAGAGAGCCAGGTGTGCAGCTCAGAAGCTGCCGTGTGATGACCAGGCAGACTCCGGCTCCATAAATCACACCACCCTTCAGATATTCACAAACAGCAGCTTTCCCGAAAAAACCCCACAGCAGCAGAAAAAACCCAGAAGAGGAGGTGCATTTGAAAGAAAACTGATTTTTTTTAAATGTATTTTACACCCACTTCTGCCCTGGTTCGGCCTCTGTACTCCCACCTAGCTTTCCCATCTGCCATTCATAGAGGGCTTATGATGCTGCAATCTGGGAGGCTGAGATTATGTGAGGAGAGGGCAGGAGATGCAGCGAGGGAGGGTGGAGCTGTCGGCGGAGGACCGGAAGAGGAGAGGGAGGATTTGACAAAGTGGAGAGCCCTCAGTCGAGATTTAGCCAGAATATTAGTCAATACTCGGCTGCTTATTGTGAAGCCGGGGCTCAGGAACAGATGCGATCTGTGAAAGCCTCGTAAGACGATAATACAAAAGACGACAGAGGTTCAAGGTGAAAACCTCAGGCCCGGCTCTAATAAAACGACTTGTCCTCATTTTAGCTCCTCGTGAGTTTTATGCACAAACAAAACGTGGAAATAACTCAACATTTTGTCTTATTAATGAAAACAAGACAACAGAAAGCAAGACGAGTAAAGTAAACTCTGCCCTCTTCATTTTAAATTCAATTCAGCATAATTTCAATAATTATTATTCTTTCAGCCTTTTGTGGTTTTATCTCATTTTTTCCTGTTCCAACGTGTTTATTTTGTCTTATTGGGTTTTATTTGATTTTATCTTGTTATTCTGATGATGTTAGATTTATCCTGATATCATGAGTGGTTCCAGAGATATGCCTTGATTTGTCATCGAAATCAGCATAACTCATTGATGTTTGATCAGAATCCTAATTATAGATTATTCTAAGTAGAAATTTAGATGTCATTTTAAAGAGGAAATATCAAGAAATATTTGGATGTTAAGATTTACTAGCTGATAAAGGTTTCCTACAGCTGAAGGCAAGGTAAATTTAAGACTTTTTAAGACCTCTTTAATGCCACTTGAAATTAAATTTAAGACCAACTTCACAATAAACAGAAATGGAATAAAACCCAGTTAGCGACAATTTGATCCAAATGTTTATTTTAACACAAAACAACGAGCATTAGAAGCATTTGGTATTAAATTATTTTAAAAAATAAAGAAATGTTACCAATTATTTTAATATTTGAGACAAATGCCATTGTTGCAAATGTTTAAGGAAGTGATGGGACACTCAAATGATGCAATAAAGAAAGAAGAAAAAAATAAAATAATTTTCCTTAAAAAAGCACTTAAAGAAGTTCTTAGGTTCCAAAAGGGCCCGTGGGCCACCAGTTGCCCATCCATGTTTTAACCAGTGCACAACAGGTGCCTGTTTTTGTTAGGACTTTATCCTTGGTTCAACGTGTCTTTCCAGAGTATTAACATTTGTTAAAAGGTTCCTAATTTCTTCAAAATGATCAAATTAATTTTTATGTCATGAAGACCAGCATCTGCCGGTCTACTGTTGCAACAGACAACACCACAAACTGACTGAAGACAAGTTTAGACAACGTCCTCCTCGTCTTGACCTCCATCCTCCCACTTCTGCCTTCTTGTTGCCAATTTATATCCACAGCTCTGCCTATAAAAAGCTGTGTGCTGTAATGTGCTGTAACGTGATACCTCAGATTTATCACTTACAATGAAAAGAACAGAATCTACAGTCGTTAACTGACGCAGCAGAAACGCTGCTGCAGGGTGGCCCACTTGTCTACCTTCACTGTGCATCTCGTTGCTTAGTCCCCTGCTGCGTTCCCTTGATCAGCAGCCACATTAATCCCCGTGTCGACTCTGCACCTGTACCAGCGTGGGTCTAACTCCTCCATGATCAGCGCCGTCTGCGCGGCTGAAGTGCATGCGCCGCTGTGTTCGGGTGGCTCCCCGTCCGTCACAGAGCCGGCGGAGCTGCTGACCGAGCGAGTGAGGCTGATTGTATCGACGGCTGATTAAAGCATCCCTGCAGGAAGGTTGGAGCTACAGCTTCCACCGCTCTAATTACAGACTTAATGAGTCCTTGGGTTTTTAGCCTGGGTGGACGCAGAATCCTCCAGAGAGGAGCATGTGAGCCAGGCTTCATAAATCAGCCCACCTTTTTTTAAAGGTCTTACCTTTTCTGTTCTGCACACTGAGGTGCAAACACACAAAAAGATACGTCATGATGACTTCTACCCTTTGAGCTGTTCTGCTCTGACCTGCAAATACGACGCACAGAGGACAACTTTTATTTTGAACCAAGTCCACAGAAACTAATCGTGGTTGACCTTCAGTGTGGTCTCTAGTGGATCTAAAGCACAACAGAGGAGAAACTTCCCCACAAGGAAAGCAGGACAACAGAAACATCACTTTGCTCAATGCTACACAATACTTTACTGAGAAACAACTGCAGGTCTTTTAACAAACAAATATTCTCCTAGAAACTCTGAACCATCCATCCATCCATCCATCCAACCATCCATCCATCCATCCGATCAATTATCCACATCCATCCATCCATCCATCCATCCATCCATCCATCCATCCATCCATCCATCCATCCATCCATCCATCCATCCATCCATCCATCCATCCAGTCCACATTAATGATCTGTTGTGACAAATATTAAATTATCCACCAACACACCAACCAACCAATCAACCATCCATCCATCCATCCATCCATCCATCCATCCATCCATCCATCCATCCATCCATCCATCCATCCGATCAATTATCCACCAACACACCAACCAACCAATCAACCATCCATCATCCATCCATCCATCCATCCATCCATCCATCCATCCATCCATCCATCCATCCGATCAATTATTCACCAACCAACCAACCAACCAACCAACCAACCAACCAACCAACCAACCAACCAACCAACCAACCAACCAACCAA